GGCCAAGAATAAACATGTGCCAAAGGGTTCTGACGGGTACTGCCAAACTGCCAGAGGAAGTGGTCTTGTGCTCTCCTCAGCTCACCTCTCAAAGTTCAACACAGCACCCATCTTTTCACCCCAACAACCTTTTCCTTTCCTTTTTTTCCCCAATATGTATCCCAGGCTGGCCAAAGACACACTTTGAAGATAAGGATGCCGACACCTCTTGAATTCTGGGATCACAGGCATGTAGTGCCACAACTGGTTTACGTGATACTAAGGATTGAACCCAGGACCTCATCCGTGCTTGCCAACTCTCTACCAACTGAACTACAACCCCATCCCACTTACATACATAACATTTGAAAGAAGCTCTTAGACATGGCTCCTTTCTGTCCTCTGGCATCCAGCTGTACCTTCTTCACCTGCTGCTTCTCAACCTTCCCAGTTCTGTAACCCTTTAATACAGTTCTTCATGTTGTGGTGACCCCCAACCATAAAATTATTTCAATTGCTACTTCATAACTGTAACCTTGCTACTGTTATGAATCATAACATAAATATCTGATAAGCAGGGTTTCTGGTATGTGATCCCTGTGGGGGTCAAAACCCATAGCTTTAGACTCTTGAAGATCACCCAACTAATGTGATAACATAATCATACATGCTAGGTTTCCTAGATAGGTTACACAAAATACATATCATCCACAATATATCCAAATAATATCCAAAATAAATATTCATAATAGTATTACATCTTATTTATATTATAGTACTATTTGAGGGGACTTCTTTCTTTTTTTTTTGTTTTTTTTGTTTGTTTGTTTGTTTGTTTTTTGTTCAGGACAGGGTTTTTCTGTAGCTTTGGAGTCTGTCCTGGAATTCGCTCTGTAGTCTGTAGACCAAGCTGGCCTTGAACTCACAGAGATCTACCTGCCTCTGCCTCCTGAGTGCTGGGATTAAAAGCATGTGCCAGTACCACCCAGCTTTTTCCTCTGTCTTGTGCCCTATGTCCAATCATTGCGATTGTATTTATTGAGCTTTCCTTCCTTGGAGTCCTAGCTGCCCAGATCTCTCCCTTTCTTTTGCTTTTTGTTGTTTGTGCTTCTTGCAGCAGGGGATAGCCTTGAACCCGTCTCCTCCTGTCTCCAGCTCCCCGGTGTTAGGACTGCTTAAACACTCCAGATACCTAGGTCATCCCATACCACATTTACTTGGAATTCTGGGTGTTTCCAGTGGTTTTATCAGTTATTTTCCTTGTGGTTGTAGAAACCGGGGTTCAGCTCTGCCAGGCAGGCACTGTGTGTGAGTTCGACGACAGCCTGGTCTACAGAGTGAGGTCCAGGACAGGCTTAAAAGCTATACAGAAACCCTGTCTTGAAAAACAAAACAAAACAACAACAACAAAAAAAAAAAAAATGGTAGAAAACGTGAAGAAAATGGTGCAGGCAACGACAACAGAACAAGGAAGCACTTATAGTAATTATTTTCAGACAGGCTCTCACTATGCTGCCCTGGCTAGCCTGAAGCTCACAATGTAAACCAGGCTAGCCTTAAACCCACCCAGAACTGCCTGCCCCTGCCTCCCGAGTACTGGAGATGATAAGGTGCATGCACCGCCACACCATGCTGCACTCAAACTTCTTGATGTTAGAAAGTAGGTCCAGCTTAATCTCTTAAATAACTTTAATGGCTTTTTTAATTGAGCCAAAAATTACTTGGCAAACAAGAGTGTGCCAACTTCATGGCAACTCTCTGGTTTTTTTTTTTTTTTTTTTTTTGTTTAGTTGATTGGTTTTAGGATTTCCAAGACAGGGTTTCTCTGTGTAGCCTGACTGTCCTGGAACTCACTCTGTACAGCAGACTCACTGAGTGAGGCTCAAACTCACAGAGATGCACCTCCTTACTGCTGGGACTGAAGGTGTGTGTTGCCACTGCCGCCATTGCCACCACCCAGCAACCATAAATAAGCTTATCTTGTTTGAACAAAAAGAACAATCCTACATAGTTCCCCCACAATCTATGGTGGAGCTCTGCACTCCATTAAAGCCCAGCATAGCCTTTCCCTGGTAGTTTGGAAGGCGTGCTGGGAAGAAAAGCTTCCCTCCACCACACAGGCCACAGGTCTTTAAACAAACTCCTGGGACACTCAGGAGGCAAAGCAGGATGATCGTGAGCTGAAGGCCAGCTTCTGACAGGTAGCAAGCTCTGGATGCAAAAGAACAAAAATAAGAAAAGACCAACCCATCTATAAACTGAAACTAGAGATGTGAAGACAGAAGGACCGGGAATTTAAAGTCACCTTTCACTACATAACAAGTTCATAGTCAGCTTTAGCTACATGATATATTGTCTCAAACAACAACAATAACACACACACACACACACACACACACACAGAGAGAGAGAGAGAGAGAGAGAGAGAGAGAGAGAGAGAGAGAGAGAGCACATAGTGGGGACAGATCTGTAATCTCTGAAAAGAGAACTGCCAGGAATTGGAAGCCTCCTTAACCCACACAGTAAATTTCAGGTCTGTCTGTCCTACATAAAGTGAGAGATCCAGTCTCAAAAGGACCACTCAAACAGAAATTATAGTAACAGTTGAGGGCCATGGTGATGCACACCTTTAATCTCAGTACTTGGGAGGCAGAGGTAGGCAGATCTTTGTGATTGCAAGGCCAGCCTGATCTACATAGTGAGTTCCAGACCATCCAGAGCTACAAAATGAGACCTTGTCTCAAAAGAGAAAAAAGACCCACAAACGTAACTGGGCCAGAGTGAGGGTGTAGCTCATTCACTTGTCCACTGTTTGCCCAGTGTGTACAAAACTCTGAGTCTAATCCCTGTTTGGAGGAAACTCAGGCAAATTTCTCTCTCAGTGGAATATATTTTTTCTGGTCTGAATGGTCTTGCTAGTAATCTCAGTTTAGCAGGAAGGTGACCAGAGTCACTCTCTGAAAACCCTCTCCCAGGCCAGCACCAGATGAGAATACTTATTACCTCCTCAGTTCGGGGATGCCTGCCTGGCATTACACTTTCCCGGTTCCCAGCATGCTGGAGGGCACACCACAGAAGCCCAGCAATGCCTTGCCTTGGTTGTCTGGAAGGCATGCTGGGAAGAAAAGCTTCCCTCCAAATATGGGCTTTCCCTAAACTAGTATGATATGAAAGAGTGCTTCAGTGACCTAAAACAAGAAAACAAAGCACCTTCACGCCAATACAGTGTTCTTCTTCTCTTATTCTACTTTTTAAAGATGGCCAATCCAGCCCAGTAAACACTCTTTCTTCTCCGGAATCTCAGAAAGGTGTTACTTGTACAAGGTACACTCACTTTATAAAGGCTTCTTAGGAGAGAATGACTTTCTTGGCATGCCTGTAGAGAAGAGAACATCATTGTTCCACAGGTCAACACTCTTAAAGCCAAGAAAGTGGACCAGGTCTGCAATTCCAGCATTTGGGAGGGAGAGGCAGGTCACAGACTGGGCTACACATTGAGTTTCAGGCCAGATGGAGCTTCATGCTGAGTCCCTGTCTATAAAACAAAAACAAAAACAAAAACAAAAACAAAACGAAAACCAGCTGAAGTTTATGGGTTAAGAGCATTGGCCCTGGGCTCATTCCCAGCACCCACGAGGCTCATAATCCTCTATAGCTATAGCCCCAAGTGATCCAACACCCTCTACTGGCTTCCAGAGGCACAGCATGCATGTGGTATACAGATAATACATGTAGGCAAAACATCCATACATAAAAATTAGTAATAAAACAAATGTAATACATGATCACATACTAAAAAAAGACAAAAACAGCTGGGCAGTAGTGGTTCTCACCTTTAATCCCAGCACTAAAGGCAGAGGCAAACGGATCTGTGAGTTCAAGACCAGCCCGGTCTACATACTGAGTACAAGGGCAGTGAGGATTACACTGAGAAACCCTGTCTCAAAAACAAAAACACTGCCCCCCCCCAAAAAAAAAAGCCAAAGAAACAAGACAAAACAAAAAACAGTATTAAGGCTCAGTGTAGAGCAGAGGTAAAGGGTGACTTGATTGTAAAGGAGAGTTGGGAAAGCTGGATAATGTAGACCAGTCAAAGATACTATCCACTCATGGGGTTCAGCCTTGACTGCAGAATGTTTCTGATACTAAAAACAATCCTATCACCAAACAGTTACACTGTCCTGCCCATGGGGGGAGCAACCTACATGTGCTGGGTACAGTGGAGATAGAAATGTCACCCTATCAGGCTAATGAAGGCCAGATCGCCCTAGCTCAGGCCAAAGTTATCTCCCGACATCGAAGGACACAAAACAAACGCCGCCAGGCAAACAGAAAGCACAGCCTGCAAACAAGAACATTCACAGCCCTCCAGGTTTCCTAGCCTCCTTCTCTCTTGGGCTGAGCTAAGAGGTGCCAGGGAGCGAATCGAAGGTCACGGCGGTTCCTCCTGGCCTGCTGTCTCCAGAATGCCTGGAAACGTCGGGAAGCCTCCCGCGCCCGCTTCTGCTCTTCTTCAGGGAATCACAATGCCTTTCTCTAAAAACATTTAACTCCTCCTGTGCCTGCCGGTGGGACGACGAAGATGGGGGTGGGGTGGTTTATAAAATGCAAAAGGGTTTGGCGCAAGGCAGGGCAGGACCTAGAAAAGGTTAAACAGCTGTCACGGAGCCGCCAGGCGAGAATTTCATCTGTTTTCAGACGCCTATCTGCCCGCGGACGTCAAGGATGCAAACAACATCGAGCTAGCGATCTGGGGAAGCGCGCGCTCCGGGAATCAGGGGTGACACTGGGTGTCCCCCACAGCACTGCAAGGATACAAACATGACACCCAGGGGAACGGAAGAAGCGATAGGGAGGGGAGATGAGCGTTCACGGGAACAGGGGACACTTGGGGTGTCCCTCTTGCAGAGCAAGGATGCAAATATGACATCGCAATGGACCCATTGGAAACCTGGACAAGCAATCGGGGTTTAGTTTAGGGGAGCAGGGGCAACATGGGGCATCCCCTTCGTTCTGCTCACCACTTGCTGTGCGCCGCGGAAAGTGGCGTCCAGCAGCATCAGTTTCCAGGGATCGGACACCGCGCCGGGCAGTGGGATGTACACGTAGTAGGCGGCCAGCGCCAGCAGCGCAGCCAGTAGGACGCACGACGACCTCATTGTCCCCAGGCTGGGCTGTCCTAGGCTGTCCTAAGCTGATCGCCGTACAGTGCGATGCTACCCGGAGACCGCCGGTAAGTTTCTGCCAGTCTCAGCTGCAGCTTCACGTGTTTGTCTTACGGCTGCGAGCCAATCACAGGCTGCGTCAGGAGGAAGTGGGAGCGCGGATGTGCCCCCTCCGCGGTGTCCTCGCCAAGAGCTACGGACTCGCCAGGTTGCAGGAAGCGCGGTGGTGCTGCAGCGGCGGGAGGGCGCACAGCAACCCCTGGCGGACGCTGTGAGTATGACCGCCTGCGATGCCAGCATGCCTTCTGAAGTTTTGCAAAGGGGTTTCAGGCTAGGCTGAGCTACTTGAAACAATCTCAGAAGAAAAACTAACATTAACAAACAAACAATAAGTTGGGGTTAGCACATACACCTGTTTTGAAAGGTGGGAGCATGATCACCAAGGTCAAGATCATCCTGAACTACATGACAAGTTTGAGGCTGTGTTAGCCTAGATGAGAGAGCCTGTCTCAAGAAAAACAAAATATTAAACAAACAAACAAATATAAAACTCAAATAATTGCATTGTGCATCTCCCAGAGCATATAAATCATCTGATCCAAAACAAACACTATTGCAAAAGATAGCAAAAATCCTCTCTCTAGAATAAGACTAAGAATGGAATGTACGTTCAGTAAGATGTTCAAAGAGATCTGCTGCTGGTGGTGCTCGCCTTTAATCCCAGCACTTAGGGGCAGAGGCAGGCAGAGTTCTGTGAATTTGAGATCAGCCTGGTCCACGTAGTGAGTTCTAGGCCAACCAGAGCTACATGATGGCAGGCAGGGGCGTGGACATGACACAGACAGACAGACAGAGAATCTGATTTCTCATAGCTCAAGCAACAGGGTCAGTATAACTCTTCTCATGTCTTAGCTCCAAAATCCCATTCTCAGCGGGGTGTGGTAATGGCACCAGTAATCTTAGAACTGGGTAGATAGAAACAGGAGGACCAGAAGTTTGAGGTCAGCCTGGGTGAAACCTTGCTGGGGAAAGATAATGAAAAGGGAGGGCTGGGAGTTCAGTCCAATGATACAGTGATTGTCCAGCATGCACAGACCCGGGTTTAATCCTCAGTACCAATGTAAAAAGTAAAGCAAAGACTTTATCTTAAAGTATGTATTTGTGGGCTGGAGAGATGACTCAGAGGTTAAAAGCACAGGCTGTTCTTCTAGAGGACCTAGAAGAACAATTCCCAGCAACCACATGGTGGCTCACAACTGTATAATGAGAGCTGATGCTCTCTTCTGGCATGCAAGCGTGTGTGCAGAAAGAATATGGTATATATAATAAATAAAATTTAAAATTATTTATTTGACTTTAATTATATGTTTTGTGTATCTGTGTGTGGAAATGTGCACACAAGAGTAAGTACCACTGAAGGCCAGAAGAAGCCATCAGATCCCCTGGAGCTGGAGTTAGGGGTGATTGTGAACAGCTTGACATGAGTGCTGGGAACTGAAATCTGGTCCTTTGCAAGACCCTTTCTCCAGCCCTAAATAGTTTGTTGCTATTGTTGTTTTAAGAAACTGCAATGATTCTTGGTGCTCCCTTTGTAGCTTGGAAAAGAGTTTTGTAGTTGTAACCTTTTCTTTTTGATAGTTTTTTTTTTTAATGACACCAATTAAGATGAACTAAAGCCCTTTCTTTCAGAGGCATTGAAAGAAGTAGACAGGCAAGGTGTCACACACTTTCAGTCCCAGAACTTGAGTGTTGCACGATAAATAAAAGCCCAGAGACTCATATCGGGGTTCAAACTTCAAGCTGAAGACCAGAAAAGCAAAGCAGCCAGCCACTAGCTATCCTTTACCACTACCTCACGCTGAACAGACTGACTCTGAAGCCTCGACTCAGTGTGGCTGGAGAATCCTGAGACTGGATGTCTTCCTATCCTCAGTGTGGCTGGAAAAATAAATGCCTTCTTCTTCAATGTGGCTGGAGAATGAATGCCTGATACTGAGACCTTGCTCCTCCCTAATGCTGGGATTAAAGGAGTGTGATCCCAGGTGCTGAGATCATCTTTATGTGAGCTGTTTCTCTTTAGGACTGGGTCAATCTTGTGTAGCTCTGGGTGGCCTTGTACTCACAGAGATCCAGCTACCTCTTAATGCTGAGTCCTAGGATTAAAGGTGTACACCACCACCTCCTAGCTTCTGGCTGCAGGGATTAAAAATGTGTGCCTGGCTTCTATGGCTTTCTGAATCCACAGGCAAGCTTTAAAAAAAAATCACAAATAATATATTAATACACTTGAGATGCAGAGGCAGGAGAATTTCTATGAGTTTGAAGACAGCTTGGTCTGCATAGTGAGTTCCAGACCAGCCAGGGCTACATAGTGAGATCTTGTCAAAGAATGGGAGGGAAAGGAATGAAGGAAGAAAGGGAGAGAGAGAGAGAGAGAGAGAGAGAGAGAGAGAGAGAGAGAGAGAGAGAGACCCCAGCCGTACATCTGCTGAAAGCTGGAATTTACACTGACTCCTGGGGCTCATGATGTTTCACCATTCACAATTACCGCTATGAAAGGAGAACACAAGCTGAGAACAAAGCTCTCTTGGTGTAACACTTGCTCAGCATGCAAAAAGCCATGGCTTTGCTCCTCACCATTGCAAGAACAGGGTGTGCTGGCACATGCTTGTAAGCCCAGCACTCAGCAAGTAGGCAGATCAGAATTTCAAGGTCAACCTTGGCTGTGGCAATACCCTGTAAAGAAAGGGAATTGACTCCTGAGTAGGTTATCTAGTGTGAGCCTGGTCTCCCAAGCAAAGGAGCATCCTCTCTATTTATTGAACAGCACATCAAATATGGTGTGGAAAAGGACAGAGGAGTTTTACTTCTTGAAGAAATTAATTTTCACAACAGCAAGCAAAACCGCAGATATTATCAAACTGTGTCACTTTCAATATTTTCTGTGGGTCATTTATTGTTTTCAAGTCTCTGTTTTCAGTGGCAGTCTTGGGCCTAGTTGCCTCACCTTACACACAGTATGTTGCTTTGATTCAGAGGGTAAGTTAATGCAGGAGAAAGAGCGAACAAGATTTAAGATTAAAGCTTGTTGAGATTGTAGAAGTTGACTGCATGGGGAGTCCCAAGGTATGCTAACATTGATTACATTGTCCTCTTAAAGGTAAGTTAAATCAAACAAGCCAGGGACATAGTCTGTAGTTTGAAATAATCTAAAAGCATATGGTTGCAATGTTGTTTTGGGTGGTCAGGTGGCTTTCTAAGGAAATGACTTATAACTGAAATTCTGAGGGGAGAAAAAGCCACAAGTATGTCAAAGTTTCTTTAATGCTAATTAACTCAGTAGAACTTAGTGGTTGTAGGAGCCTGGAATGGCCTGCACCATCTGGAGCCAACTATCTTGGGCTGTCTTTAGTTCCCCCTCCCTCCTAAACATAAGTAGAAGCCTCTGTGACACCACTGACATAGGCTACAACTGTTCTCAAAGGCCTCTTTCTCATTAAGAAGTCTTCTGTATTGTGGTTTAATAAGGATCAGGAAAAACATATAGGCTGAATAGATGTTTATTCAGGGAGAAATAACTTACAACAGAGACAAATGAACACCAACAGGTTCCTGGTCCTAAGGATGCCTCCGGGTGCTCTTCTGTCCCCGTGCTGCAAGCAAGAGCCCCTTCCCCAGACCTAGTTCCCCCAGTAACCTCCACCCCTGTCCCCATCCCCAATGAGCATGGTCAGTGCCACAGGTGTGGACAAAGTGAATATCTCACTACACGTCTGTGTTCAGTAACAGCCATTAAGTCACTTGTGAAATTTAAACTCTATCTTTAATATGTATCCACCTCATCATTAGGAATGATTTCATAATAATATACTGCTGGGTATTTTGCATCTTATTTTCAGAAATGGCCTCATCATATCCTTAACCCTTTTTCATCAGGTTGGTTATCTTTCAACTTAGGTATATTCTGGACATTGACACAGTCTTAGATTCTTTGCCTTACACGTGTACTCTGGAGATTATTTTGCTATAGGGAAGCAATTTTGTTTTAATACGTTTGCTTTTCCTGTGCCTTTTGGTTTATGTCACAGTATTTGTTTCCCAAACAGATGTCCTGACAACCTCACTTATGTTCATATCAACTCTGTAGAGAGATCAATTGTCATGTTTAAGTCGTTAGTCCACTTGAACTGAGTGCATATGATTTGTAAGATGAGGATCTAATTGCACTCTACTTTTTATAAATAAGCTTTAATATAAAAAAAACTTGCAAATGAAAAGAAAATGATCCTTTTTTTCTCTTTAAAAGAAGGGGGGGTGCTGGAAAGATGGCTCAGAGGTTAAGGGCGTGGGGTCATGAGTACAATTTCCAGCAACAACATGGTGGCTCACAACCATCTATAATGAGATCTTGTGCCCTCTTCTGGCAGGCAGGCAGGTAGGCAGGCAGGCAGAACATTGTATAATAAATAAATAAATAAACAAACAAACAAATAAAATCTTTGTGGGGCGGTGGTAGTGCTTGCCTTAAAAAAAAAAAAAAAAAACAAAAACAAAAACAGCCAGAACTGAGAAGGCTGGGAGGGTAAGAATGCAGTGCAGTATTAAAGACCTGAGTTTGAATCTCCAGCCCCCATGTAAAAAGCCACAATGTATCCCCATGTACCTGTAACCTCAGCCCTGTGGGAGGTAGAAACAATAAGATGGTCCCAGCTTGCTGGCTCCCAGGCTAGCTCCAGGTTCATTTAGAGACTATCTCAGGGACCTAGAATAAGGCTGAGAGTAAAATAGAGCAGGACACCAATGTCTTCCTCTAGCTTACATGTGCACACCAATGCTGAGGTTACAGACTTGCACCATGGTGCCTAGTGGATCATTAACTTAAGGAAGGTAACCTGGCAGATGTAAAGTTACCATTAGTTCCAAGGTATTCACATGTGATGGCTATTCTTGGCTGTCAAAGTTACTATATCGGGAATTAAACAAAACAAAACAAACCCACAAGCAGTATGGAACACCTTTGATGGAGTTTTAGTTAACTGGATCATTTAAGCTCAGAAGACCCACCCAAATGCTGGGCCACACTTTCTTCTGTTATTTTTAGTCACTGGTAAGCTCCTGAGGCATTCACTGGTATTAAAGCCTGCTTCTTCGGGATCCTGACATACATTGAAGACCTGCTAATACATCCAGCCTCATTAATTGAACA